GAATTCTGAATTTAATAATAAAAATCATTAAATAATAATATTTAATGAAATAAGTTGATTTAACAAATTTACATCATTAAATAATAATATTTAATAATTTATATTATTAAATAATGATATTTAATAATCTACATCATTAAATAATAATATTTAAATCATTAAATAATGATATTTAATAATTTATATTATTAAACAATAATATTTAATAATATTCATCATTAAATAATAATATTTAATGATTTATATCATTAAATAATAATATTTAATAATCTATATTATTAAACAATAATATTTAATAACATTTATCATTAAATAATGATATTTAATAATATATATCATTAAATAATAATATTTAATAATATACATTATTAAATAATATTATTTAATAACATTCATTATTAAATAATGATATTTAATAATATATATCATTAAATAATAATATTTAATAATATACATCATTAAATAATATTATTTAATAATATACTTCATTAAATAATGATATTTAATGATATACATTATTAAACAATGATATTTAATGATATACTTTGTTAAATAATATATATCAATGACTCTAATATAGATCAATATATATCAAATATTTATTTTAATATACATTAATAACTCTAATATATATTGATATATAACTAGAAATAGGAGTCATAACTAGCTGTAACTCTATTGTAATTCTCTAATTGACTGTCGTAACTCTGTCATAATTCTCTGATTGGCTATCACAAGTCATAACTAGTTGAGAAGCTATCTTTATATATAATTAAAATCAATACAAATCACACCAAAAAATTTTCTGATATATCTATATTAAATTTAATTAAATTAACATCAACTAATAAAGAGTTATATATATTTTCTTAAGAAATAACCACCTGATTAGTAATTGAATTCATTAATATTATGATCAAATGTGCTATTGTAAACATAATAATTATGTTAAATATCCATGAGATATAAATACTATGATAATCATCTATATTCAATACTATTACTTTTTCTATATATCCAGCAAGTGCCAAATCAACAACTTCAGCATGTTCTTCAAATGCATTGACCTTATATCATGTAATTGAACAAGATGTAATGACTATATCCAATTCTGCAAGTGTATCTATAATATCAGAAATACCAGTTGAATCTAAATATAAAGATAAATCTCTTTTAACATCATTTACAAACTTATTTCTTATTTCATAAAGAAAATAACATGAATAAAAGTTGCTTTTTCACTCATATTTTTGTTTCTTTATTTTTTGATTGCGGATTTGATGAAAGGTATAACTCATCAAAAAAATTTTTTAATCTTATATCCTTTTCTTCCATGATCATTTGAAATTCGTCAAACAAATATATTGGTGATTCTTTCTTTTTATTCTCATGATCATATAAAATTTTTGTTAGTATTTCTATTGCTTTAGAAAAAGACAAATAAGAATCGTAAAATTCATTAGCCTTATTAGTTTCAGATTGTTCCAGATTAATAACTTCTGGCTCATCGGTTTCAGGTCGTCTTGCATGTTCTTGAAACTTAGCTGATCTATTGGTCACGATCCCGTTATAACAATCCAGGCAAATCGTATCGCCTACTTGAAGATAAGAAGGTAAAGTATTGTTAGTTTGTCCTTTCTCAATTAAGTTTCCAGTTACTGCTTTCCAGTTAGTCGATTTTTTTTGCATATGGCAATCACGCATGGTCCTGTTAATGGCATTTTTGTCTTCTAAGCAAGGTCAGTCAAATTACAAATTATTTTGAGATTATTTTTTTCAGTAAATATTGACGTTCGTTTAAAACGAAAAATAGCCTTTGCGGTAATTTTTTATTAGTGAAACGTTGCAATCTCAAAAAGTACTCTAAAGTGTATAAATAAGTTACCCGGGCAATTGATTTACATCAGCCAATCAGACGAAAGTCTGACCATGAGTTACGCGCTAATTTCGTTATATCTCCCATATAATGCGTTGAATCAAATTCTGTAGGCCCAAAGGACTGTTCATATATAACTGTAGCATTATCATCCTGATATAAGACAGCATCGTTCTTGTCACCTCTCTTTGAATTTGACTATTTTTGATCAACATTTGTGGTATAAATTCTATCTTTGTGCGCTTCGTTTACAATTTCTCCACTAAAGGCCAAAAATAGTGTCAAATTATCATAAAGCAAAAGTTCAAAAATTAAAAACTTACAAGGCAATTCCTGACGTTAAATTTCCAAAAAATATCGAAAATAAATCAAGAATGCGATAGACTGTTTGGTTGGACCAATTTTTTTCGTCACCGTCTATCTGTAAACCGCCATAATAGAAGTAAAAAATAAAGTGCCGGCAAACTTCATTTGTCCATAACAGGAATGATCGCGCGTCCTTACTGAGTGGCTCTTTTACTTTTGACAACGCACTTTCAATATCCCCACTGAGCAAATCGTGAAGATATTCCTTGATATCTTTGGGAATATCAATTCACCGTGGGTTGATCAGTTTTTTCGTCACTGTTATCCTCATTATTCATAACGATAATTGACGTGGGTTGATCGGTTTTTTCGTCACGGTAGTGTCATGAACAATTTTCTCAAACCGGTCCTCCGCATCCAGTTCCGACAATTTTCTAAATGGTCCACATAGCACATATATATTGCGTTTTCTCATATATTGGAAAAGTTCATCAGTTTTATTATTTTTCTTTGCAACCTATATAATGAATGTGTAGGTGTAGAATATGCAGTAAAGGAAAAGAACGTATTGTCTAATATTTCTCATACTTCAGTTTCTGATTGCCCTTGTACAATGTCGTTAGTAGTCACTTTGTTCCAAGCATGAAACATGTTAGTGACCTAATTGTTACCTAAGGCAACATTGAAAAATCGTTCGTAACCTCACCTTCTTCGTCAGAGTCATAGCCCCTTCGGTATTCTCTTTACCATCTGCATCTCGAGGATGTTTTCTCGAAATTACACGTCGATTGTCGAAGTTCTGGGTTGCGAAATCCCCGGTTAAGTTGTTAAATTGCTTAATCTTCTTTACCTAATTGATGAAAACGTTAATTAATCTTTTTGTCCTATAAAATTTTCAGATTAGAAGCCTACCTGCAGTACATCGGAGGATTTCAATTTATCCCTATTCACTTGTGTACACCATCCCTTTAACAATATAGAATACTTAAAGAAACATTTCACAACAATAATATAGAAAATAAAGCATCGAACTAAAAGCTATCCTTCAGACTAAGAGTCCCAGCTTGCACTAAGCGTCGAACTAAGAGTTCATTACTGTTGGATTTTTAACTCGTTATACTAATATTAATAATGAGTATACTTTCCAATTATCAAGAATTTCTTGAGCTTTTCTTCTACGCGTCTCGTCAAACTCAGAAAACAAACAATCCTTTGAAGATCCTTTTTTATGTAATCCAGTACTCTCATCCTTTTTGCTTCAATTTCGTACGATAATTCTCTACTACATTAACACACGTCCAGTCCTCGATGGCGGTGACGTAGTAGTCATGGTTTTGGTTGTATGTTTCGAAACTGAGTTGAGAAAAGTGATAAACGCGTAAGAATGCTGATCAAATAAGGCTGGCAAACCGTTTGATTAGTAAACAAAATCCTTAATTTTTATTGGTTGAAACTTATGTTACCAATGAATGTATGCAGGAATATTCCCGTCACGGCACTAACCTCATATCTTGACACGAATGATCATAAAACAAAGTACATAACACATCAGCGGAACCAAGATAACGAAACAAGGTCAAAGCATAATTCTTTATTTTTTGTAAAATGAATATTGAGAAGGTAAGGGACCGGCTAATTAAATGATCGAGTAGCAGGATGTTTCAAGGGAGGAAAGGCATAAAAAACACGCCTGCTTGTTAAGCCTGCCGAGCCCTAACCCATATATTGGCAGTTCCTTTCCCACTACTCAAAGGTGTAAATGAGTGTTATCTATCCAAGCACCTATCTTTTCTAAGTTTTCGCTTTTTATATTTTCCCCACGGTAAAAACTCTTTATTGTATCTTTTCCAATTAGTCCTAACCCAAGTTTAAGAATGTCGGTCGATACAATAGCACACATCTGATCTAAAGAACTATCGTTCGCACCCTTAACCCTATTAAAGATGGTTCCCGGATTACAGAAATGATATTCACAAATCTTTGGCTTGAATCCGAGGAATTTGATGAAGTCTCGCTTTGCTGGTCAGATCCTCTCCTATTAATAATCTGGACAACGGAGTGTTGTTGATTGATTTCGCTCTGGAGCGTTGTGAACATCCTGCCGACCGATTCGAAATCAGTTGCAATTTGACTAAAATTATTATGGTAGGTTTCTCGGCCTCCGTTGCGTAGTTAGCATCACGGGAACTCTTTTGTGATAAGATCGTTATTAATTTCGGTTCTGATCTTGCCGATTTGTTCAGCGATAGTAGTGTTGATCTTGGTTTCACGAGTTTGTTTCATCGGTATTTTTTTGCTTTACGTCCCACAGGAAGAACCATATGGTGGATATTTTCAGGGTATATCACCGCAACGACGAAAAACAAATAAGCAGTTAAAGCCATAAAAAGAATATTTCCCGAAACGTTTAATGGATGCATCTATGCAAAGAAAATCCGATTAGAAAATTAATCGTGGGGCGTGGATATTTAGCGGAGCAAGTACAAGGTGCTAAAATAAGTGGAGATATCTTTGATTTACGGTAAGTAAAACTAAGTTTGATGAGTTTGTTTTTGCAATTGCTATCTTGATTTTGCAGAAGGGTGTTCAACAGAAAAAATTGCATCTTTTATAGGCGTTACGTTTCGATCATCATTTATTACACGTAGAGACTGGAACTTGCTAGAAATACATGAATTGCGTTGTAAAGATAACTATGTAAAGTATATATTGTTTTTCGTTTCTTTATTAAAATCTAAAATAAGCGTACATGGAGATTTCAACACGAATGTACTAAACTTTATCTGCATTTATTCTATGAATTTGTCATCATTCTCGTTTAACTTTATTAGCATTTATTGTTTGTAAATCGTCTGCGAAGCGCGACACTCTGTGCCTGGATTGCCGGCTCATACCGAAGCTATCTAAAACTTTATTCGTTATATGATTTTATTTTATTACAATGTGGGTATCAATTAAACCTTTTTTCTTCGTCTCTCAAAAAAAAGATAATATATCAGTCAGACGATTTGTCACACGTAGAAATTAAACATATTATGTCGATCGATTTAAAAAATCGATTAATCATACA